TAAATTATGCTTTGCATCATGGCTTTGAATCATGGCTGCTACTGACTTTCTTTTATGTAGGAATTACACTAGAGCATCACCAATTCATAAACATGATATGCAACGGCGAGTTTTTGAACAAAGAACTCAAGGAAGCTCTAGATTACATTGAGAGCTTAGCAGAGAATGCCCAATCATGGGATATTTTTGATCCTGCTGAGCGCTTAAGGTAATCTATTTCATCCCAATCTATTGGAAGTGGAAAGTATGTTTTAAGGGAATAAGATGAGTTGCTAGCCAAGATTTCACATCTATAAAGGAAAATGAAAAATCTAGATGTTAAGAAGGTGAATGAGGTGCTAAGTGTGCCTCAAGAGGAGCCTTACACTATATGCAAGTCGGTTGGACATTCTGTTAAAGAATACCCAACCATACCAGCTTTCATAGAGGTGCTTCATGAGCAAGTGAATGCCTTTAACTAGCTAAGACAACAAAATTCTCCCTATTCTAACACATACAATCAGAGTTTGCTTAGCCACCTAAATTTTACTTGGATAAATAACACCTTGGATTAACTTTCTTCCTCTATGTCTTATGCCCCTCCAAATCAACAAGTGTCAAGTCTTAGTCAATCTTTAAGTCCCCAGTATATGCACCCACCATCACAATGGTTTGTTAAGAACTCGTCTGCACAAAGGTTTTGATATGACCTGATTTATGTCATACACCCAAGTATAAGTGATCAAATTACAGTATTTCTCGATTAAATCCAATGTTGAACCCACAGAGAGCTAACTGTTAGTATTCAAAACAGAAAACGATAAGATTGTTATGTGTGTGTGTAGTGTGCAACGAAATAGCTTGTGGTGTGAGCTTAGAATTATCAAATAAGCACTTAATTAAAACTTTGAATAATAATGACGAAAGGTACTCTTCAATTTAGGAATCCAACATGAATTATACTACTCATTTAAGAAAATGCCACCTTACAACAATTGACTCACATTTTACTGGAAAGCTAACCAGTAGGTTTGATGTATAACTGAACCATATCACAGCAACTGATTAGGTTATCCGAAAGGTCTATGTACCATGCAACAATCAAATAACCATAATAAATCCAAAGGTGAACCATTCAAAAGGTTTACTCTAACTATTCAATCGGCAGGTTGATGATTCAATAAAGACAGAGTTCCAATTTATGCATTGAATCAAAAGCATTGACTATTGTGAGATTTAACTCATCTATAACCAATCTCCCGACTATTACATAAATCCGAACTACATGCATCACTGTATCATGCATGAAGTGTATAGTAATTATAGATAGTGTGGTATATAGTATTAAGCTTTGCTCGATGTTCATAACCATGAGCATATTATAATAATAATCATCCATCAATTAAGGGAGGTATAAACATTAACACATAAATAAAACATTGGCATTTTCATAACTCAAACAGTATCATACATGCATTTACCCTTCACCAAAGAGTATAAATGGACTACTTATGCCTCATTGCTATAGACAAACAAAGGAGTGAGATAATCCCATTACAATTGAAAACGAAATACCCAAATCCTTCCTCGAGGAATACATGAAACACTGTCACTCTTATTACTAGCTAGAGCATAAAAGTGGAAGAGGTTCAACCCTCCAAGTAGAAAGAATAAACAAAAATGTAGAAGTAGAGAAAATTCTAGCTGAGAAGTGATTAGGGCAGAGCTTTGCTCGCTTTCTAACTGAAATTCTCACTGAAATCTCCCTTTCTCTCTTTCTTTCCTCTTTTTCTCTCCTCTCTTGCACTAGACTAAGCTCTCTTGCTATCCCCTGAAAAATGAGCTGAAGAGGGCTATTTATAGGCACCAATAGAAGGGAGCAAGGCAGCAAACACCCTGGACAGCCAATCAGGGGATTTGTTGCTCACATAGACCAATGGGAGAAGAGAGAGACTTGAAGCGGTTTGAGCATTGTCCGGACGCTGCCACCACCATCTGGACAGTAGCATTTCTTTGAATTTTTTGCCTTGGTAGCCTCCTTGTTTGACTTGTTGACTCCTTAATTGCACTTGCCTCCCTTGCTTTGTTTTAGCCTTTACATTTTGGTCCTCTTTGATTTCCATATCTATCCTTGAAACCCTGCAAAAAATACAAACTACACATTAATCCTAATACTTTATAAATTAATTACTTTAACCTGGTTTACGCACACAATTAACCCTAAATCTTGATTCAATTACGCATTCTTTTAGAGTTAATCACACCCCCAACCAAACATTAGTAGTCCCTAGTAATAAAACAAATAAAACAAAATTACTTTCGTAGAATTCACGATTGCGTTTAGCGTATGCAACAAGTCGTTAAACCCCTAGATAATTCCAAGTGGATGAGTTTTGTCTCGTGAAGGTTTCCAGCAAAGATACATACAAACTTCAAATGTTAGGAATACATAATTCATATTCTCCACAGATAAGATTTAGTCACCATTTTATTCTATTTGCTAGGATACTTCCCTTCCTTGATCATTATAAGAGAAGCACACATTAATTGTAACACTATTCCATATATTTCCAGAAAAACTCGTGTGTGTGTGTGTGTGCAAGAATTTCTTTGTTTCAAAAACACTTAAGAAATATCATGCTCCTTCATTCTGCTGTACAAGAATTAGCCTCAATGTCAATCATTTCTTGTAAATCACTCAGCAAATAATACACTCAAGTTTTAGTGACTATCACTCAAAAATTACATATGATAAGAATATTGTTATCAAAGCTAGATAATAGCATATGTAATATCCCAAAAGAAGGTTATTCAAATAGAATTGGAAATTGGCATAATCTCATAAAAGAATATTAACACTGTATTAAACAACATTAATCAGCATCCTCCTTTTTTAATGGATAGGTAGAAATAATACATACGCAAGACTTTTGGAATCAAAAAGGACTTTATCAGGGTTATAACGTGGCTAAAGGGTATTGGGTTTAAAGAAACGATGTCAAAGTCATTCAAAAAGCTATCCTTTCCGATTAGTGTAGCTAACTTCCCTCCCATTTTTCCAAAACTTTTACACATAGTATTACCCATATCTCCTTTCAATCCCATTTTTGCAATTTCTTGGCTATTTTCTTTCTTTGCTTCCTTTCTTTTTCTTCTTTTTCTGTTCTCTTTTGTTTTATTTCACATATTCTTTTCTTCTCCCTTTTCTTTCTTGAACTGTAGTCACCATTTTCTTTTCTCCCTTTTCTTTATAATGTTTTCTTTAGGAGAGGGTGCAAGAAAATTAAATAGTAAGGGTCGGTCATTATATTTTTTTTTGTGGCTCGGTTAACTGATGGGTTTAAAGAAAATAAATTTTCATTTAAGCTCAAACACGATTTACTACAGATATAATTTTGCAAAAGAAATGGTTAAGACTCAATGAAATCATAAGTGGCCTAAGATCAATTTCTAGAATTTATACATCTACATTTATTCCATTTACAATTCAAAGGAAAATGCTAATCATATTATTCAATGAGTGCTAACCAAAACGAGGATAATGAAATTATTCAAAAAAATATTATCACCGAATAGAAAATTCTTACTTGAGTGAATGTGACAAATCTCTCCAAGGCGGATTGACTCAAAATCTACATACAGGTTTACACTCCACTAGAGGATAGACTCTAGAGCTTCTGCCATCTAGTGGACTTGTTCTCCAAGTGCAACAACTTTGCCTTGTATCTTTTTGACCGAGGCTTAACCACTATCATGATTTTCTGAAAGGTTATCGGCCCATAAGGTTTGGTTATTTTTTGCATTTTTGTTGTGCCTTTTAAGAGGAGCCTTGCTAGATATTGTTTCGAATTTAGAGTTACGAATAGGAACTTTGCATTGGTTCCCACAAACGTCACCAACTGATGGATCAGTGCAGAGAACAAGTTCCAGAGGTCACGCGTCTGTTGTCTCTGCACGAAGGTTGTGCATGGATCTTACAAGGCTCGCGCTAGGTGTTCCAAGTTTTGTTGAGGTGTAATGCTTGTGCAGGTGAAGCAGCATTGGTTGCGTAGCTTATCTAGCCTCTTGGTGGTCCGGTGAAAAGAAAGGCTAGTAAATGAGGGCACTGGTGTAGTACCTGCCAAACCTTCTTCGATGCCCAAGTCAATGAATGAAATGGGTGAAAATAACAGTAAAAATGTGAGTGTGGAGAGGATTAATGGCTTAATAGCCAAAGTTATCCCTTCTTCTAGTATTCTTTACACTGCTTGTTTCATTAGTGAGGGATATTTATCAGTGTTATCAAAACCGGACCGGATCGGCCGGTCGGTCGGACCGGTTCAACCGTGAATCAGGACCCTAACCGGCCGGTTCCTTAGTTGAACCGCCTAAGAAAGTGAACCGGCTAAAAACCAGAAAATTGGCCGATTTTTAACAAAAATCGTAAACCGCCGGTTTTATAAAAACTGGACGGTTTAATGCCTATTTAAAAATTAAATTACATAAATAAACTTTTTTGCCCTAAATCAATAAATAGCTGATTTTTTTTAACCTTATTCTTTGATAAATTATAAATGACACCCTTTCTTTTTCTTTATAATTTACTTGAACCTCTTTACTTTATTTTAAAATACAATAACCCCCACTTTGTTACTTAATTTCATTAATTTTATAGCAAATTTTATGTATTTTATACATATTTTATATTTTTTAGCTAAATTATATATATATATATATATATATATATATATATATATATATATATATATTTATTTATTATATGACCGGTCCGACCAGTTAACCCAACGGTTGATCCAGTAAACTATTGACCTAATCCCTTTGCCAGTTCGATGACCAGTCCGATTTTGATAACATTGATATTTATAGATTAGTTTGAGTGAGAAGGTGATTTAAATAGTCAAGATTATTGGCAGACATGCAATGTTAAGTATTGTTTAAGTGATATTGACAATACTGTCATGTCTCTCTACGCCTGGAGTGTATCAGTAATTCATCAAAAGATGGTAGTTACTGTCGGACAGTGTCAGGAGGCACCAGGTTGCAACTTCCTCTGGGAAACATTGCCCCCATCCTCGGCCCAAGTTTTACCTAAAGCTTCGAGGTTCTATGTCCCTTTTGGTGACGAGGCCGAGGAACGTGGTCCAAGCAGACATGTTTGGACCTTGGCCATTCAAAGATCATTCAAAGTTGAACTGTCCTTCAAGATCTGTGGCTGATGTGATGTGTTACCAAAACACCATGGTTGCCAACAACAGGCCTTTGAAGAGGAGAAAGAGGGTAACAATCAACCTCTATGATTTCTTAACTTTTTCAGTAGTGGAAGACGCCATCTCAAACGGACCCTTTCGGTTAAGCGTACGCTGATTCTTGTCCAGGCATGCAGCCAATCTTCTGGTCATCCTTGTTCCTTGGGCCGCTGACGTGGCAGATTCTATTTCGGGTTGGCAGTTTACTTGTCGATGAAGGTAATTGTAGTCCCCCTCAAAGGTGGAGCTATCATTGGGCTAGGGGGGCACATGCCCACCATCCAATTTTTTTGCTTAACATTAATTATATATTTTTTTAAATAAAATTTAAATATATGTAATTGTGCCCACCCAATTAATTTGTTCTTGTGAGATGGATTAGGATAAAAAATTTCAAACCTAAATGATTACTAATTTTTGATCAATGTTATTGGAACCTAATTTCAGTTCCTAATATATTGTGACGGTAAGTCTAATAATAAGTCTCAATATTGAATAAAGTCTACTATCCACACGATGGATACGATTTGAAAATGACTGAATAAGTTTTTGACATTTAAGAGTATTTTGTAATTTTTTAAAATTATATTATTATTTTATTATTATATAGAAATAAGTGTCGTTATGTAAGAACTTATAGAGTCATAAATGAAAATTTGTTACCATAATTTTATATATATAAAAAAATATATATATTTATTGATGGCATTGATTTGTAACACTTTCAAAAGATAAAAAAAATTATCAGAGTCAATTGTAAATGATAATAATTAGTCTCATTTTTTGTACCAAATTATAATTAATTTCTTTTTTATTTCTTGTGTACGCGCGATGTGGATCAGTTTTTAATTTTTTATGTTTAATAAACTTTGAAGTTTTTAAATTTTATTTCAATAAATATGAATTTATGAACTTCTACAACTTTGATAAAAAATAAAAAAACTTCTTTGATTAATTGAAAAAAAAAAAAAAAAATATATATATATATATATATATATATAATTTATTAATGTGTCCACTTTAAACTAATTTCCTAGCTCCGCTTGTGGTCCGCCTACAGTAGTCCTCTACGTCGTCAAAGAGGACGTTACCAAATCTTTCAGATTCGTATATTGTGACAGGTGTCGAATTGTTTTCTAACAAGTTAGGTTTTTTTTTTTTTTTGGTGGCGAAAAGTCAGGTTAAGTGGGATGAAACCTTTTTGGAAATTATTATCTTGACATTTCAAGTTCAAAGAGGACCTTAGTTTATTTGTTTGATATATATATATATATATATATATATATATATATATATATATAATAAAGTAGTTTACAATTCAAATTTTAAAAAATAAACAAAATAATTTTTGTTATTCGCAGTTGCGATCGCTTTAAATTTTATTTTAAAATTAATCTAACGGCTAATATTAACACCCTAAATTTAATAGGAAAAAATAAACCCCTAAGAGTGTGTTTAGATTGACTTTTTAAAAGTACTTATAGAAATTATTTCTCATAAATAATTTTTTTTAAAAGTAGTGTTTGAAAAATTTTAAATTATTTTTTCAAACACTAACACACACTACCATCGCCGCCACCACCACCACTATCATCGACACCACCAACACCACCACCACTACCACCACCACCGTCGCCGCCACTCCCACCTCACCACCACCGCTACCCCTAACCACCACCGCCATCACCTCTGTCGTCGCCACCACCTCTGCCACCGTCACCATCGTCATCGTCGCCGCAGCCACCCCCATCCCCCACCCCCACCTCAATCATTGCCACATACCACAACCATCACCGTTTCGTACCACCACCACAGTCGCCCACCACTTTTCTCTCCCACTACAAACCGATGCTTAAATTATTTTATCTCTTCTCTATGTTTGTAATTTAATTTTAGATATAAATATAAATATATTTATTATTTACCATTTTTTATTATTTTGTACCTTCAGGCACAGACAATAACTAGTATATAATAAAATACAATACAATTCAAATCTCAAAAGATAAGTAAAATGACTTTTGCTATTCACAGTTGGAATTTTTTTAAATTTTACTTTAAAGTTAATCTAACGGCTAATATTAAAACCCCAAATTTAATAGAAAAAATAAGTTTCTAAAGGTATGTTTGGAGTGACTTTTAAAAAGTGTTTTTAAAAATTATTTCTCATTAGTACTTTAAAAAAAATATAATTTTTGAAATCGTCCCGCCACTACTTCTACCACCATCACCCCCCACCGTTCAACCACCATTACCTCTTCCCCGACCACACCCCCACCATTACCATTGCCCAACCACCATCATCACCACTACCACCTCCTCCACCGCCCCTCACCACCATTACCACTACCGCCACTGCCCATCACTACCATCCCCACTACCACCATCACCACTACCACTGCTACCGCATGCTACCATCACCCCCACTGCTAACGCACCTTGCCACCACCGCCAGTGGCCCACCATCACCATTACCACCCCCATCGCTCCACCAGCACCCCATGACCATCACAACTATCACAACCATCGCCACCCTACACTCACTGCCCCCACTGCCACCACCACCACCACCACCCACCAATGATTACTACAATCTTCCCCACTCATCACCATCATCATCTTATTCTTATATTTATTATCATTACTACTATCATCCCACTACCACCGTTGCCCACCATCAGCACCCACCACTACCATTGTTATCCACCATCACCCGTCGTCGCCCACCATTGCCACCAGTCACTGTCACCCACCCCCACCACACCTACCACCACCACCACCTAACATCGCCTACCGCTATCACCTACCCTCACCACACTTACCACCGCCTCTATTCGTTACCACCCATCACACTATCGTCTAAAAGCATCCATCGTCGTCCACTACCACCATCGTCCCTACCCACCACCACTGTCGTCGTCCACCACCATCACTACCACCACCGCAGTCACTAACAGCTGCCACTACCATCATCGTCACCCCAAAAACCACCACCACCATCATCGTTGTCACCCACAATTGTCTCCACCACCACGGTTGTCGCCACCCACCACAACCATCACTGTCTCCTACCACCACTAACATCACTCACCTCCATTACAATTGATACTTAAATTTTGTTTATTTCTTTTATATGTTTATGATTTGATTTTATATGTGAATACAAATATATTTATTACTAATCATTTTTTTTCATTATTCCGTGCCTTCAGACAAGAAAAATAACTAGTATATATATATATATATATATATATAGTTGATTGCTCGCATTTGAAATTTGCATGGTTACGAGTCTAAATGTGGTCGAGACAATTCGACCATAAAAAACATTCTGGCTGATACAACACATATAATGTTGACCTACCTGTTTGCAGGTCCAAGAAATGCAATGCATTTATCGTTGAAGATGATCTAGAGGAGTGGCTGTATACTCAATTTGAGGATAGTATTCATCTTCTGCGTGGCGTCATTCATTCCAACGGATTCGGTCACCTTCTTACACTTGATGGCAGAGAAGGTGGTTCCAAGATTCTATCAACATGAACTTCTGGGATAGGCGGTGCCAAACCATGGCAGTCAGGTTTTAACCCTTGATTATGCCTCGCTCGTTATATATAGTTTTGGATGAATCCCTTGGGAGTTGGAAGTGAATGCTACTTGAAAGTGAAAACAACAGACAAGTTATAAAAAAAAAAAAAAAAGACAACCTACATTTTTCCCACTTGTGATTTACCTATTATGTATGTATATTGCCCCATTTAAAAATAAGTGCATAGCCTCCGCGTGTTTTATAGACTAAAGTGCACCATTACAATTTCTATTATTTTAACTTTTAACTGCGTGTGTGAGCCCCACACCTACTACCATGAGCATTGGAATGAAAAATACATAATAAAAAGACAAACACCCAAAATTAATACTCTTACGGTCTCTGCACTCACCCCTCTCTCACCACGTTCTCCCAACCTCGCCGATAACCCTCCAGTCAGGCAGCCAATGGCCAGCTCCACCCTCTGCTTTTGTCTTTCTCTCATATCTCTCACTGTTTCTCTGCCACTCCCTCACCGCCCCGACCACCCTCTGACCTCGCGCTTCTAATCCTCAATGCAACCAAAGCCAATGGTCATCGAAGACATCATGGGGAGAAGTGAACTTGATTTGGTTGAATTTGAGGCCCCGGAGGTGGAATTGAGATTTATGAACTGGGTTTTCATGGTAGATGTTTCTTTTGTTATATTTGTGGTGGGTTTCATGATTTTGGTTTTGTTTCCGATTCATTAATGGAGGTGGGTATGATGAGCATGGCCTGGTTTTTGATTGAATTTGTGCTGGGTTTGATGAGTTTGGTTTGGCTTTTGGTGGAAAGTGACCTTATGCTGTTCTTAATTATTGCTTGATCTCCCTTCTGTACCTCTAATATAAGAGAACTCTTCTTTCAAAAAAAAATAAAAATGTTACTTGGTGGTTGGGTTTTTGTGTAGACACGGAAGAAAATAGAAGTGACGACAAAAAAAAAAAAAATTAATGAAAGAGGAGTACCTTTCTGCAACTGAGGATGAAGTGTAGCCATGTACGGAAATCTGCGTTGATTTAAAGATCTAATGAGTGGACTGGCGTTCAACGTTCAAAATTAAAAATTAATTTTTTAAATTTATTGGTTGTGTAGTACCGATTAAAATTTAAGTATTAAATTAAATTAATCTGTTTGACAAATATAATGAGTTGAAATTTAAAGTTATTATTATTTAATTTTGTTATTCTTTTTAACTATCTCTCTGCAACTATTTTATTTTTATCACTACTATCACAAATGGTGGTTGTGGTAGTGATGACGGTAACACAATGGTTGTGGTTGGGGGGTAACACAATGTTAGTAATGGCGACAAAAATACAATGGTGGTGGTGGTGGTGACAACACATGGTCATGGCGTTGGCAATGACACATGGTGGTGACAGTGGCAGTGGCATTGATGGTGGTGGCGGTCACACAATAGTTGTGGTGATAGCAAAATGATAGTATTGGTGACGGTGACACAGTAACAATGGTGGTGGTAGTGATAATATTGGTGGTGGTGGTGGTAGCGACTACTACACGATGGTGGTGGTGGTAACGACTGC